CATTTAACTTCGTAGGTAGTCTAGTTGTCTAACAGTAAAACATTCTCACAACGGTCAATTTTGGAACGTTGTAGAGGCTCAATTTTACAACGGTAGTAAAATAATAGCCGTTGTAGAAAAATTCAAAGTTGCTTATAAAAGACACAAACAAGTTAGTATTTGAAATAACACAACCCTTCTTCAAAAATCACCTCTTCCTTTGTTCTTAATCTTTTTCCAGTTTTATCTTTTGATAATAATGATGGAGTTTGCATCCAAATCTCATAAAGCTTCAGATCGAAAAATTTGATCCAAACTTTCTACTCATAGGCACGAAGCGTAAGGAAGAAGCAAGAGTGATGGATTCAGAATCTGTATTCATGACGATTAAAGGTTTGATTTTTCTATTTCTTTTTGACCAATCATCTTCAATGAAACACCATCGTTTTTAAATTTATACTTTTAGGATCAGAATTCAGAATGCTATAGTTTTGATAATACGTATTAAGAAAGAGATTATGTACGTTTCTCTCGTGCTGCTGCTCTAAACTTGATGTTTGAGGATATAGTTAAATTAATTACATGGTTAAACAAACTGTTTTTTTAAATTCTTTGTAGCAAGTTTCTTGTTTTGTATGTTCTGCAAATATTCCATGTGTTTCAAAAGCCAAAACAGAGTTAAGAGGAAATTGATATAGTCATGTTCTCATGTTTTCTTGCAGGGATGCGCATTTAACGTGAATAGCATAGCATGACTTAACGTTCTCAGGGTATATGGTATTCGTAGGATGTTCTATTTTTTTTTTTTTAATTCTTTCACCAAGCATGTATAGTTTCAGATCGTTGGACTTGGATGATTAGTCAAGAGGTTTGAGTGTTACATTGCATGACTGTGAAAACCAACCGGACTTTGTGTCCCGTCTTTTAATTAGTTTCAATTGATCGTTAGAGATATCATAAGTTCAATTTGTTTTCACGGTAATGTCAATTTAGCACTCAAGTTATTGATTAATTTGACCGTAAAGATTACCAAATTAATCAAAAGATTTGATAACTAAATTGCATAATTGCGAAAACTAATCGAATTTGGTATCCCGTCTTTTGATTAGTATCAACTGATCGTTAGAGGTATCATTATTCAACTTGTTTTCACACCATTATGTAGATTTATAGCATTCAAGTTTTTGATCAAATTGCGAAAACTAAATTGCATGATTTTTGTTTTCGTAGAAAGTAGTTTGATCCGTAGAAATGTATTGAAGGCTTTGTAAAGTTTTTGGTTTCACCTTTATGCTTTTAGTAGAAAATCCTTCATCAAAAAAGAATGTCGGAAGAATTAAATAAAAACTTTTTGAGTGTAAACTATGAAAGCAAAAGGGTATGAAATGGAGCCTGTGTTGTATTGTGATAATAAAAACCAGAGCATGTTTTGGTCTTTCAATTCTAATGATTTTTATTTAAATCTAAATTGTTAAAAAAGTAGAATAAAATTATTACTGATCAAACTTAGATAAGGATACAGTGAGAGAACAAGAAGTATATATATTTTTACGAAACAGTTTCCTAATTTCTACATCTCTATGCACATTACATGTGGCTCAAGAAAACCACCTTGTCGATAAAAATAACAGAGTCTCCTCTCCACTTCTTATGATTCAATACCAAAAAGTAGTAACAATAATAAGAGATGAGAGACTGCTCTTTTACCGTCTCTCTCTCTTGCCTTCTTAAGCTTCCATAAGACCATTTTTTTATGCAGACTCTTTCCTGTGAAGAGCTTAATGAGAGAAATCCTTTGCTTCTAAGCACAAAACGGTTTTATGGAGATCACTACATCTGCACAAATTTAAACGGAAAAAAAAAAAGTTGATAATTTGAGTTTGGTAATATAAACACATAAGAGGCTGATAAATCATGACATACCAAGCAAATAATCATAACACCTCCAAGATTTTAAGCTGTTCCAGTGATCAGTTTTTCGCGTTGATCGAATTTCTTAACCTTTATAATTCCGATTAGAACTTGGAGACTGAAGAAAGCACATATTGTATAAGCTATAGTAGCTGGTGTCTGAGAAACAGAAAGAAACAAGAATGTTGGTGAAATTGAGCAGACATGATGAGATTATAGGTTAACACTTAGAGATTGATGTTGATGAGTAGCAACTTACTTTTAAAGAATTCAGATACAAAATGGTTGCGAGATTGACTAAACTTCCTGCAGCAACAGCCTGTTGGAAGACACATTGGGTTAAATAAAAAAGGAAAAGAAACTAACTTCAAGCACATAAAACACAACACATGATACACTTTCTTGTTTGAGTCGCTTCGCTTATCATTCACTTTCTCAGATTTTTTTTGTTAGAATGGATCGAGATGTAAAAAGATGTGAAAAAGACAGGAGAAGCAAAAGTTTTACTTACACTTCCTACTGTTTTCTGAACAGCTGCTACGCGTTGAAATGCCCTCTCAGACTCTAGTGCTCGGACTCTAAGCTTCAAATCACCTTGCTCCTGAGGAAGCAGAGAGATGAAAATAAACTCATTAGATCATAAAATCCAGGTTGCTTGGGAGTTTGTGGCAGGTGGATCTGTTAGTATCTTACAAGTCGTTGGATGATTCCAGCTAGTTTTTCAACTCTATCAGCTTGTCTAAATAGATTGTAGAATGCTTGTGATTGTCTGTCCCATCTCTTTCTCAAGTCCTACAATAGTTGATTTGATTGAATATGAATATTAAGCGATGCGATAAGATCATATGGGGAGTAAAGATAAGCCTTGCTATTACCTTTACTACAACTTCTACTCCAGCTTCCCGAAACCGTAGCAATTCCAAAGCATAACTGGAGAATAAAAGTATTTGAGTACTCTTCTGATTGACAAGAAGATATATAACATAGTGTGTCTAGACTTACGGTTTTGCAATCTCTGTTATATCAAATCGGGGGTCAAGGCCTTTGCCGATACCATCCAATACTGCAGAGAGAGAGAGTAAGTAACCATTAATATATTTGTCAGAGAGTTTGAACACAAGCAGATGAAAAAAGTGGTTGCATTACAAACCTGAAAAGGCTCTAACGACAAATGTGAATGTGGCAGGGAACCGGAAAGGTTGATCAGCTGCAATGGATAATAAGTCTTCTCCGATTGCAGCCAACCGTTGCTTCTTTTTCTCTTGCTTTTCCTCCTTGCTTAGAGGCTTCTTAAACCCAAGCTGTTCTGCTGCTGCTAATTCTTCTTTCTCTTTTCTTTGTGCAGCAAGCCGCTCTTCAAAACTGTTAACAGAATCAACTAATCATCAGAGGGATACTACTGGCATCTACTAGGCACCCCAGTCTCACACATACTTAAGCAAAACCAAACAAGAAACAAAAATTCAATAGGAAGCTAGATAGATGCAAGGATCAAGTAAAGTACCTATTGAGAAAGAACAGAGCTGTTCTTCTGACTGCTGTCAAATCTCCAGTTGGTACAAGCACACCCATTTGAACCATGGCTTGAATGACCTGCCATAAGAAGGGTTATTGATATACAAGTATGAGCTCAGGTTCGACAAAGCGGCATTGATGTAGAAGATTGAAAGCGAAAACACCGTAGAAAGATATACCTTATCTGGGTCCTTCTCATAGACGCCATAGAATGCCTCCAATAAACCTTCTCTAATATTTGGGCTGATACTGGAAAAACCAATTGGGTAGAACCATTAGTCTAATAAGTATGGTGAAGGAAATCACATAGACCAGAGTCCTGTTTAGCATAAAATGAAGTACCTTCCCATCATTCCAAAGTCGTAAAATATCAGCCGCCCGCCATTTACATCATCAACCGCAATATTCCCAGGGTGCTGCATAAAAAAGATACAAATACAATTTAGACTGTAGTCTTTTTGTATCAGAACACTAAATAAAAATTCATTGACACTTAAACGAAAAGAAAATGATAGAAGAGACTTACAGGATCGGCGTGGAAGAATCCATGAGATAAGATTTGCTCCAGGTAAGATTCAACAGCATATCTCCCTAGCCTGCATTGTACCAAGTTAGATTTGGCTTCAAAGAGAAATGACAAATATTTAAGTCCGGGAAAGAGATGAAAGAAAATACAAACCTTTTT